GGGGTCATGTTTCTATTGTTTCTTAGAAAATAGGTAGATCTAGTCAAAGGTTGTTCAATATACAGATTCGTTTCTTTTTTTTTTATTTTTAAGGTCGGGGGTGGGGTGGAGTGGGGGGGATTTATCTATTTTAAATGTTTTGTTTGTTTGTTTGTTTGCTTTTTCGTTTTGTTTTGTTCTGTGTAGTTTTTGTTTGGTTGTTTGCTTCATTTTTGCATTGACCATCAATAATTTTTTAATAGAGGCATCAGCCATCCATGTCCAAGGGCTGTTTTAGACTTCATTTTTGAGTTATTGCTTTTTTTTCCACGTGAAGTTTTCTCCTGTCCTCTAGGTGAGCCGCCCCGTGGCAGACGACCTGTGGGTGGACATGGACACATCCTACCACATGCCCCTCCCCTCCCTCACCACCTGCACCTCCGGCCTGGAGATGACACCCGTCAAACAAGGTAAGTGGGTGGGTGGTTTATGGGTGCTCTCGTTTCGTGTGGTCTGTTCTTTTTTTCCTATTAAATAATATATCTATTGACACTTTCTCTCCACCTTTTTTTCTTTGTAACGTACTCTCTTGTGACACATCTAATTGTGGGTGGTTAGTGTGTGCTCTGTTGTGGTCTGTTCCTTCTTTCCTCTCATTTATCAATAAATAACTATCGTCATCATCTCTCCTCGATCTTTTCTTTGTAACTTACCCTCTAGTGACACATCTAATTGTGGGCGGTTGGTCAGTGTTCTGGTGTGGTTTGCTCCTTCTTTCCTATCAAACATATTGTCCTTATCTCTCCTCATTCTTTCTGTGTATGATACTCTCTTTCAACACCTTTAATCTTCAGCATTATATGTATGATCTATTTGTGTTGTACGTGCTGTAAAACATCACAAAGACTAAACTAAAAACTAACATTTAGAAAACAAGATGTGACTCTCTATGTCGTCTGTGATCGTTACGTTCTTTGTTTCGAACAGAAAAGAAGCGAGTCTGATTGCCAACTGAGGAAGAAGAGGTTTCTACCTGGGCTAAGAGGGACGCAGCATTCCATAAAAAAAAGTCTGAGATACTCGATAAAAAAAATTCCCACTCGGGAATCGAACTCGAGTCTCTTGGAAGCAACGGCGAAGCGCCTAACCATTACACCACTCCACAGACACTGGTATGGCACCTTAGTACCATTAGTGTAAATCTTGCAGTTGGAAATTTCTAAAAGAAATGAGGAGAAAGTTTAAAAAACAAAAACAACGTATTATCCCCTTCTTTTTACGTTCACTTCATTCATGTCTTTTTTTTTATCTGTCAGAAAACCTTTACAAGGGAATGCACCCTTTCATAGCCAACCAGGAGGGACAGCTGAGCTTCCAGAAGGGTGACGTCATCCAGCTTGTGGAGTCGGCGGACAACGGTTGGTGGAGAGGCGTCATGGTCAAGGACGGTGCTTCTGGCTGGTTCCCGAGCGGCTTCGTCACTCACATCTCTGGTAAGCCTTGGGGGG